CCTCCCGCTCCACCCTCCCCCACCGATTGCCATTATAAGCAATTAAAATCTATTAAAACGATGTATATGAATCAAGCCAATCCAGAGAATGGGTTATTTTGAGCTTTGAGAGATTTCTTTTCGGAAGTATTTCACATGTATTTGATCTAGTGGTCCCTATATGTTCAATGCCCATGAACTGAGTTATTCAACAATTGAAGAAATGAGTGGATGGAAATCTTGTACTTTGCCTTCAATCATGAAAAGATACTGAGTATGGAAAATACCAGTTTTCTTTTCCGCCTGGGCACGCCTTGGCTAGGACCAGTTTGGGGGTTTTTCGAGACTATCCACGATTGTTGCACTGACTTCGAACTTCTTTGTCACTATTGCTTCCTACTGCACTTCACTCGCCATTCTGTCACCATAAACTTAACTTTTAAAACTACGGTACAGGCATAACCCAGATGGTTATGGCTAGGAGGTGGAACGTCGATAGTGATATTACTTAAATCAAAAAAAAAAATCAAAATCAAAATCAAAGTCCAAATCAGTGATCTACCAGTTCCTCGCCAGAGATGCAGAATCCATTGCAAAGAACTCGTGTCCGGTTCAAGGTCATGGGCAGTCATCATGGAAAATGTCTTCGCCAGCAGCCCTCTTCTTCCCCCGTTCCCACTTAAGTTCCTTCCTGAGTGCGTCTTTCTTTAGGCACCATTAACTCTCGAGGAAATGTAATAGCTCCCATACAGAAATCTTTTCAAATACACAAATAGTAATCCAATAGGATCCTGTCGTCCTGAGATGACCAAATACGCCCCTGATCATGGCCTATGAGGATGATACAAAGCGGGAACTGCCCGATTTCTAAATCCAACTCCCGTTACTCATAGGACTGTTAACTAAGGACTGCCAACTACAAAAGGGGGAAGCTGTGCCCAAGCCGATATTTTGTTGGGTCCACGGCTTTAACGAAATTCTCGCAAGCCACGGCCAACGGGGCTTCGTCGGCTAGGTGAGAAGGGGACTGCTTTCGCGATCAGCGAGAGAGGGAAGAACCCCGAACCGGTTCGGTAGCTGGCTGACCCAACGAGTTTCGCATCGTTTTTCCATTACTCATCCATCTAATTGTGTCTCACCGCAAATGCCGTCATTTCAAAAAATGTTTTGAAATCTTCTTAGGATTATATATCTTTTTCCCTCTTCCCCTATGCCATTATATCTAACTTTTTTGCCAGATTACAAGTTTTTCGGATCTGATTAGATTTTTGAATTCTGACTTCTGATTTCACTGATAGTGCAGAGTGAATTGGCTACTTGGTGAGTCAACCGATAGCACCGGCCAGAGAATCACCATTTGGCGTGAACTTCCGGCTTTCAAACGATTCACAGTTATATGTACATCTGCGAATAGCATGGATACTGTAAATACCGTAGGCGATAAATATTTAAAGGTCCAGTGGCAATGAAAGGTTCGTCGTGGTGACGGCATGTTCGCCGAAAAGCCTTACCGGATCGATACAACACGACGAGCGAGCGCAGATGACGTGCAGTCTTCCTTCTCCTGCTTCGTCGTGGCGTTTTGGACTTTCCCATGATCCGTGTGGGAACATCCCCGTGTTCTGTTTATGAAATCCTTCGATTAATGGATAGGGAAGTCGAACATATTTCGTTATTCCATGAAATGAAAATGTTTTTTTTTGCTCCAATTTGAGCAGAATATTTTGCAGGCCCATAGATATACCCTTTCAGTAGTTCGATAAGTACTTTTCTTTTTGTTTGAAGAGTGCAATGACACTGTAAAACGAGATGGGAAAGCAAATTCCTGTTTTGCGATTGCAAAAATGTCTTCAAATCGACTCGCCCTCTTGCATTTTTGATCATAACGGTACCGAACCCTTTCGACATTCAATTTCCACTTCCTTGAACGGGTGGAGTCCCCGGTCTTCGACCATTTCGACCAGATTTGATGGGGTTTGCGGGTGACAAGTTCTGCAAACGCAGAATCAATTCGTTGGTTGATGATTAGCATAGGAATAGGAGTATATCATCGATGACAGTTTGCTTTTGTTCGATATTTTTGAATAATTCCAATCATCACTTGAGCTTCCCTTGGACAGACCCCTAATTCTACGCTTATTTGATAGAAACAAAGTCTTTTGCGACCACGTCTGCATTACGTCAATGAAGCCGTGTCCCGTTCTTTTGATGGGTTTATCGAAGAGGAAAAATTTCCCCCCTTTGTCATCTGTCCCCAGCAGTCAGGCCGATTGTGTGCTATCGAACCAACCAACCAACCCCAACTATTCCGGCTTCTGCTATCGATCCACCGGTTGAGTCATTTTGCTTTCGCACCTCTCTTCAATTCCCCCATGACTGATTAGTTCTTCGGCTTTCGTTGTAAATTAGTACGCCATCTTTTTCGTGCACTTAATTATAAGAGAGATTTCGGCCTCTGAATTATGCTATGCTTCCTTCTGCTCTCCTTCCTTCTTTCATATATTTAGCTCTTGACGGTTTTCCAGAAGTTTCGAAATGCACTATCCAAGAAAATTAATTGATTCGAAGCTCAAAAACATGCCCTTCTCGCAGTTGAAGCCAAATTGCTGTTTTCAACAAAAGCACATTAATCGATTCACTAAAAGCTAGTGTGAGTGTTATCGTGTACCACTCCATCATCAGTGACTGAATGGAATGTGACAAAGCAGTTACGACTGTTATTTATAACAACCATTTGAAGGACTTTTTGAAGCCCTGTCAATAATAGCTGTTTTCAAAGTCTTATAGTAATACCAGTAAGTGGAAAGTCATAAGTTAAACAGAGAGGACAAAATGAAATACTGCTCATGGGGCTTTTTTTTCGCATTCGCTGGGTCTTTCTTCTAAATCGCTCAACTGGAATTAAGCCGAATCCTTTCTGGAATATGTGGAAGCTCGCTTTTGCGTTTATTTTTCGATTTTCATAAGCCTATGATCCTTTTTGGCACTTGCTTGGATCGCTTTCGATTTTCCATTGTCCCTTCTGTTTCATATCGTTGCTTTACATCTATAGTAGCACTGATCTGATCGATTCCGATCCGAAAGAGCGTTTGTCCGTATTGGGCCGTTTTTCGCAGTTATCGTCTACTATCTCGCCAATATTCGTCGTCGTATAGATCGTTTATTTTCAGGGTGCCGAGCCTCATAGCAGAAACAAATTAGGCCTAGTGATTGAGTGATATTGAATCTCCTCCATTGCTCATCTTTTCTTTCAGCTATCCAAATATGATTGTCAAAGAATAGTAAGTTACATTCTTATTACATTTCTTGAAGATTTCTAAGTTCCATGAGAATCCCAACAAAAAATGGTGCAATTAAGCCAGCGGCCCTTGATACAAGTTCGGAGACTTCTCTATTCGTTAGGGTTCCCTTGGCAGATTCCTTGTTGCACTTCGCTCTCCTTATCTACTCCATGCCATCTCATCAGGGCTTCACAGTTTTTCGGAGTTTGCAGGAGGGATGATTCCTATTGTACTATATCTTGCCATGTCCCTAGTTCCACTGTATCTTACCTTATTTCAAATTGTAAGTGGGATATAACTATTCACCCAAATTTACGGGAATAGTGAATTCCCCGAGAACTTGTTCAGAGAGGCGGGCAAGCATATGTGCATGAATATGACATTAGTTTTCATCGTAAAGACCAACTCCCCGACTTTTCCAGCTTTCCTTTAAAATTTTTATGCCAAGTTAAAAACTTGGTTCCCATCCTCAATACTTGTTTCGTATGTAATGGTAATCAAAACAGATGTCGTCGTCATGCTCAGCAAAATCAGTTCTCCTCTGAGCAAGTTTTCGTCAACTTCCTTTCTCGACCTGAACCTCGTTAGTGGACAGTCACAGTCATGATGCAATTTTGTTCAGTGTGACTCATTTCGGTAAAAAAGTTCGAAAATTGAAGAGAAGTAATTTGAAGCTCCTTGAAATAATGTCTCCATCAGCATAATGAAAGGAATAGACAAAGAGGAGGCAAAAAACCACTAACGGTCGTAATATAGGGGCAGATCAGCCTGTCTTTTAGTGCTTTGAAATCAAATCAATGATCATCCCTTCATCCCTATATTTTTTCTTGTCTTTCAACACGTGTTCTAGTCGTGTCGTTCTTCCTATGACAGTGGAGGAGTACCAGGTTGGGCAACTGTGGTCCGTTGCCGAAGCTTCTAAAAATGAAACGGGTGGCGGAGAAGGCGTAGAGGTATTACTCTTCTGTAATATTCCGTTTCGATTCACCCATATTATTTTTCCTGTCTAGGTTTTAAAAAATGAACCCTTTGACGGGGTACCATTACTAAATGGACAATTTTGCAAAGGACAGTACACCCACAAAATATATCATCTTCAATCGTAAGTTGTAGTTATTCGTTAGTTTTAATGCGACATTTCTACTTCTCTAATAAGTCTGCTCAGCTCGCTTTTGGCAAATTCTTTTTTTTTCGTTTTAGAAAAGTTCCCACTATTATTCGAAAAATTGCTCCAAAGGGTTCATTAGCAATCCACGAGGAAGCTTGGAATGCTTATCCATACTGCAAAACTGTTCTTACTGTAGGTGATTTACCGTCATTGCTTTTTTTGTACAATGTGTTGATTCAGAACTTTTTATTCGAGGGTTTGTTTAATTAATTTCATTGGATTTTCGTATTTGTTCAGAACCCCGATTATATGAAAGAGAACTTCTTCATTAAAATCGAAACCATGCATTTGCCTGACCGAGGCGAGACGGAAAACGTAAGCATTTTGCTCGGATATAGTTTCTAGCCAATTAGAGGCGAATCTCGCTGAAGCTGGTTCCGATTTGAAATCTAGGCCCATGGTCTTCCTCCTGAAGAACTGTCGCGAAGGGAAGTGGTTCACATCGACATCGCCGACGACAACGAGTACCTTCATGCGGGCGACATTCATCCTTCAACAACTCCAAGAACATTCGTGAGCTCGAAAACTGGACGGTGGGTGGAGCTGATTACTTTTACAGCATACATATATATGGATTATATTTGTAACGTGGGAAGTTTCTGGTCTCCACCATCTTTTACGAGCCATTTGATACCATGAAGCATCTTCGTCGAAGGCACGCAATTTTGCTAAAGTAATAGAGTAATGCCTGTTGCTGTGCCCACCACTGGAATCATTGCTCAATATAGGCGATCCCTTTGGCCTGATTTTAGTGGGGAAAAAATGTTGCCGTCGAATGAATGGGTTCTTATATACGTTTCCTGGTTGCGGATTGGAATACTCTCAGAGGAGCTAAACGTCCGTCCTAGTGATCACTGAAGTAGTCGACATTACAATACACCCGGTTCTAATACCATGAAACAATTTATATCAATTTCTCAATGGCGACATTTTCGAGAATATACTGGAGAAGGCATTTCGATCCGTAAGATTAGTAATCAATTTGAGATTTTGAGTTTTGAAATTTTGTCTCATGTTTTTCTCGTTTGGTTGGCTTCTTTAAAGTGCTTCTTTTTGTCAAAAAAAAAAAAGGAAAAAAGGAAGCAAGTCATTTAGACAAACGCATATACATTTGAGACTTTTAGC